ACAAATTGATATTTATAGTGTACTCTACACCCAAACAATGGAATACAAATTCTTTTCAAGTGTGTGTGAAACATTCATCAAGACAGACCACATTCTGGATAGTAAAATGATCTCAAATAAATTTTAAAGGATTGAAATCACTAAGAGTATATTTTCTCAACAGAACTCAAGTGAACTAGAAATCAAAGCCAAAAAGATATATGCAGAATCACATGTTTGGAGATTAAACAAAATACTTCTAAAATAACTAATGGGTCAGAGAACAAATCACGTGGAGAATTTAAAAATATTTTGAAGTGCATAAAAATAAAAATATATGAACATTTGTGTGATGTAGCTAAAATGTTGAGAGGGGAATTTATAGTATTGAACACTTTTATTAGAAAAGAACAAGGGTTTGAGATCAATGATAGAAGGTTCTACCCAAAGAGACGAGCAAAAGAAAATCTTATTAATCCCAACGTAATAAAGAAGAAAATAAAACAGAAGTGTGAAAATAAATTAAACTTAATAAAATTTAGATTAATATTAAAACCAGATCTAGACATGCTAGGTTACTTAAATTGAATAAAATTGAACCATTCAGTTTATACCACCAAAAAACAAAGACAAACAAAAAACATAATGTGGTTTCCATGAAAATGAGAAAGCAGAGTCATTTTGTCTGTATACATTCTCCATCAACACTGCATTACAATAAGAAACCATTACTTTCTTCATAAGGCAATTATAAAGTTCAATTTTCAATTTTTACAGACTTCTTGAAGGCTCCTCTTAAATATTACACAACAAAATTATTATTTTTAAAGAACCCATATATCATATATATATTTTTACATTTTACATTTTATATATATATATTTTTACACTTTATCATTTTAAAGCACCCATACATAATATGGGTGTGTGTGTGTATATATATATATATATGTATATTGCATATATATCATATATAATCATATATATGATATATATTTATATATATGATTTATATCATATATATAAATTTTTTTACATTTACATTACACTCTAGTAGAGTTCTGTGTAATTTGAGGAGTTCCCCAATGTCACTCTCACTAACAATGAGATCCTGTAACTTTTTCAAGATCTATACTTAATCTCTCCAATCCATTTGCACTAAATTTGCATTAGGTCCAACAATCATCCAGAGATTTATCTACAAAAACTTTGCTTTGCTGCTCTGGGTAGAGATACATGCTAAAGCAAAGAATGTTGTTTGGAGTCAGATGTTAGGACCTAGTTCCATAAGTGTTCAATATACTTGTGCATATTTTCCTATTATACCAATCTTTGTTTTTCCATGGAGATTTGTAAGTGTGGGATCTTATAATAATGACAGCTTATTAACTCCTTGGAATACATACCTAGAAGGTTTGAGTGACTTGACCCAGGGACACAGATCAAATGTTGGACAGCAAACCTAGATATTCTTAATCTCTATTGCTTTTGAAACACCATGAGGCAGGAGAATGTAGACATGGTCTCAGGCATTTCACCCAATCCCAGAGTAATAGTTTTCTACTCCAAAGGCCACATAAAGTTAATCCTTTATTTCTCTTTTGAATAATGTATAAATTTGACTAATATATATGATATGATATATTTTTATTACAAATAATAGGAAAATGGACTTTGGTTTAGGTAATAAAAGCATTTCCTGTCATCTTATCAAATACTAAATATCTTATAAAGTAATATTTAGAATATCTTTTATGTTTTTGAAAAATTAGTTGTTAACACTTTTAGTATATTACAGTTAACATTCTGTTGTAATATATATATAGTGAACATGATAGTTTCTTTCAACATCTCACTGTCCCCAAGAGGGGCATGGTAACATAAAACTGCTACTCTTTCTACTTGTGACCATGCTCTGCTGTAAATGAAGGCCATTGAACTTTACAGCCAGGATTCATGTCTGAATTCTGACTCATTAACCATAGCTTGAGAGAAATCATCTTTTTTGGGGGGGGTCCTATCTTCTTCACTTATAAAATAATGATGAAAGCAGGTGACTTCAAAAGTTCCTTCACCTTCCTTGATCATACCATTACATAATTCATTTTCTGAATTTAAAAAAGGCACATGTGGAAGGAACCACCTCATACACATGTGTAAAGTAAATTGAATACAAATTGATTCAGCATTTTAGTTTTGATAGGACAGTATCTAAATCAATTACTATCTAAATCAATTACTCTTTGAGCCAGCAATTTCATTTCAAGGATCCTAACTTACTGCAATATTCCCACAAGAGCATGAGAAAGTGTGTGTAAAGAGAATTATCATAGCACTATTTGTAACAGTAAAGGACTGGAGGTAACCTAAATATCCCTAAATAGGTTATGGATCATGTTATCCATATTCTAGAATACTTTGGGGTAGAATCACATGGAAATATTCCATGAACAATACATGAGTGTACCTGAAAAAGACTACGCTGAAGAATTCTGTATTATAGATTCATGCAACTTTTTATTTTTCTTCATTTTTTTCAATTTTTGTTTAAAAATGAAGGTTCATAATTTCAGTGTACAGATTTTAAATATGTATATGCATATACATACACATATATATATGAATATAGACTTTTATAAGTATGTATGTGTGTCTCTACATATTCTTTCAGTAATTTACGTACTCAAGGGTAACCAAAATTTTACATCTAAAATAAGGAGTTCTGTTTAAATAGCATCTTTTTTCAAGTTAGTGAACCCTTAAGATGTTGATCTGTTCTTTTCCTAAATACGCCATGTAAACATTTTTTAAAAAATAACGCATTTTAGGTTCCTGTCCAGAGCAAAAACACAAAGTGAAAGTGTTGTACAAAATGTCAACAGTAGATGGTGCACACTTGTTCTTCTTAAAGCAGCTTTGCTGTTTGAAGAAAATGAACCACCAACCAAATAAACATACAAAATCTAAGTCATGAACAGTTTAAAAAATTAGAATTCTTAAGGCGTAACCAAAGATATCAATAATCCCAATCTAATTTCTTATAAGTAATCCTCTCCTGTTTTAGAGTTTGGTTTTAGAATTGAGCAAAGACAATAGCAACAACAACAAAATTCCCAAGTTTTCATCAGCACACTATAAAAATTAATACAAGAATGCTTGTCAGAAGTCAGCTGAATATCATTAAAGAGAAAGGAGTCTATGGTACATTGCAAGACCCAGGTGAGTATGACAAGATTATCATGTCTTAGATGGAAGATACTGGAGAAAGATGGGAGAAGAATAACCAAAACTAGTGTGACATTTTTTTTAAGTCTATAGTTCACCTTTAACTAGGGCCTTAGTTACTACAAAGGACCTCTGTTTCCAAAGTAATGCTTCTCTCTTCAACCCAAAACTACTTCCTCAAGAGAAGGGAAATACAGAAATAGTTTCAAATATAACTACAACCTGACTTTCATGGGTAGCTATATTACTTTTGTAAAATTTGCTCCTGGGGCTCCACACTATAATTCCTAAAACAAAACCTCTGAAGATAGAGTCAAAGGACCATGCTGATTCTTTCAATAAATCATAGTCATCCAAGAACTCATGAATTGAAGCGTTTTTAAAACTCTTCATCCAGTAAGATACTTCATTCATTTACAGATATCCTTTTTATATTTATAAAAATGTAGTTTTTAAATTATGAATTGACCAACTATATGCTATGAATTATCATGATGAATCAACCTAGAAGAGCCATAGGGTCTAAGGAAATTTTTAAAAATTAAGTCTTCAATTTATCTACATTCTTACTGGAGAAGTATGTTTACCTAAGCAACAAAAATATGATTAGTTCAAATGTAAAAACACACTGAATTTTGATAAATTCTACAGGTTGAAAGGACAGAAATACAAGTTCAAGTAGAAAAAATAATGTAAAATTTCCAAATGCTAATGAAAGCTTGTTTGTATATCTTTCCAATATAGGAGGTTGTTATAAAAAAAATTGATATTTCAATTCCAGTAGGCATGTTTAAAGAGTTACACTAATTTCAAAATGTCAACACGTGCAATGTTTTAGAAATTAGAATTCTGTGACTATTTAAACTTTTGATGAAACTACTTCAATGCCAAATTTAAAATGTCTGAGTGGGTATATGGTTTTCAAATTGCTTTTAGAATTCTTACAGACCACTGCCCTGAACTACAAGTTTACAGAAGACAAAGGTGTTGGCTAGTATGCGCCCTCAAGTGAAGGCTCTCCTTCCACAGTCATCTCTTCAGATCATGGATACATATTCCATAATGTTAAGATTCTTCAGAGGAGGGGCGCCTGGGTGGCTCAGTGGGTTAAGGTCATGATCTCACGGTCCTGGGATCGAGCCCCGCATCGGGCTCTCTGCTCATCGGGGAGCCTGCTTTCCCCTCTCTTCTCTGCCTGCCTCTCTGCCTACTTGTGAGCTCCCTCTCTCTGTCAAATAAATAAAATCTTAAAAAAAAAAAAAAAAAATTCTTCAGAGGATTATAGCTTCCAAGAAAAAAATAATTATGTTTGGAAATACTCCTGATTTAGAGACTGCATAGTACAACTAAGGGTTTTTTAAAAATGTATTCATTCTCATAGAAAAGTTCAAAAATCTGATTTTTAAGTGCATTCATTGTTGGAACTGCTGGTAGAACTCCTTTATTTGTCAGTGTGATTTTGAAAAGGTTTTCTAGTGATCACCTGATACAGGATGTTGGAATGAATACCCATTTTAACATGGGTCTACAGAAATTTGAAAGTCCGTAGGAGAGTTTCATTCATAAATACTTTAATAGACTATTTCAAAGCCAAATTCTAATGATTTGGTGTTCCAGATATGTGAGGTGGTCCCTCCCTTGCCTCCTCCTTTGCTAGTGATAATTGAGTGTTTAAGCGACTTTGTAATTTGTAAGCCCATTACCCAATTCATCTTTAAAAACTACATGTAATGACTTGAGAATATTTTAATTTGATCATTAGCCACATGGCACATTTCCTGAGCAACAGTACTTACCCTCTGTTACATTTTGCTATTTCATCAAACAGAAGTTTCCACCGAGGACGTCCAATAAAAAGTCTTGAATTCAGTGCTTGATATTTTTCTCCAATTATTTTCTGCCAAAAAGAAAGCACTATATTTTATATGACACAGAGTTGGACAAATAACCGACTTCTCTAACATCATTTCTACTGGTACTGTGGCTTCCTACCAAATTGCTGTGATATCAAGAATATAAGTATAAAATGGCAAGCTATTAAGTATAGTCATTTTGAAGCATCATTTCCTCCCTCTTTTCCTTTAAAATCCATTAACTTCTTGAGTGCCATTATTACAAATGGCTGATTTTCCTAGACTTTAGTTTGTTGCTTCATTTTTAACAACCACAGTGTTAAAGAATGCATTTTAATTGCCTACACTCAAAATGGGTGCTGCACATAAGCGTTATTGAAGTGTTTTTGCACTGCGAATCAGTCGTCATATTTGGCTCATTATATGAGTAAAATACTACAAACTGTCCTCATAAATTTGGGGAAATGATCCTAGGCAAGACAGCCTAAGACAGAAGGTCTCCAAATCTTGGGTCTATCAACAAATAACTTCTAAGCGGCTGGTGTTTGCAGTAAACAGGAGATTAGATCTGGATTGGCAATAAAGGGTCAAAGGGAAGTGAGAAGAGAGGGAAAAGTGATGGCAGGCAGACAAACTGAGAACCAATGCAACGTACCCTCCGAACCTTCATTACAGCCATAGCATGAGGAAGAATGATACTGACTTGTTTCATGAGAATAGCAAAAGTGAATCTTTTTTTTTTTTAACATACCAAGTGGAGTAGAAATCTGACTAGAAAAATAGGGTTAGATTAGTTTTTAAGTAACTGACAAGCATTCGTATTTTGTATCCAAAGTATTCTAGAAAATGTATAATGGAAAATATTAAAATATAACTCGTGAAAGCATCCATGCCCAGACTGACACCCCTATGTAACCCTTCACTGTCATCTGTAAACATCAGTTTCTTCATCTATAACATGGGGATATCACCAACATCTATCTGTTGGAATTACACAAGATAATATAAAATGCTTAGCACAGTGTCTAGCACAGTTAATAAATAATGTGTGATGGCTATTACTACACTTTTAGGTTCCCTTGAAGAGAAGAAATAAACTTAATTAGGTATGTCTTATCTTGTCTCTCCACATAAAAACTCCCCTTGATGAACACAATCATGAGACTGTTTGCTTCTGGTCCAATCTCTAGAGGTAAAGGATTTAAGACAACAGTGAAAAGGAGAGAGATGAACTCAAAGGTCTGTACCAGCTTCCCGTGAGGAGGGCAAATGAAAGGCATAACATGGTTGGCTTCAAGGACAGCCCATGTGTTTTCTGGACACACTCCAAAAGAGGCCTTCCTCTGGGAAACTTCTCTTCAAACCACCTGCAGAAATTTTCTTCCAGCACAGCCCCTACAGTAAATCTTGTATTACCAAGGGGCTTGTTTAATTTATAAAAACATCCAACCACATACCTGTATCCCATCTGTTTGACTGAGGTACAACTGGATGTTGACATAGTCGGGTCTGTTCTCTTGCCAAAACTGAGAGGACATGAAGGTAAATAGACATGTGAATTCTCTCTGCAGACTCAGACTTTCTCCTCTTCTAACATACGTGATTCCACAATTTAAGATGTATCTGGTCTAATCACAGTCAACATTTACAAGCAATATACATGCCAGATTCTAGCATGTAACCTGTGCCTCCTGGCACAATTAGCATAAGCAGCAGTCGTATAAGAGAAGAATTCTGTTGTTGTTACAGATATAGAATCAAGCATGCTAAATACAACACTGATATTCCCCGAAATCCTTCCACATATCTCATATTTTATTCCTGAATCCCTAAATGATAGCTAAGAGTTCACTCCTAAAGCGCATGATTTTCTTACAAAAACAACATCAACACACAAATAGTGATAAATAATATGCATGCTAAGAATCAAACAAAACAAAACAAACAAGACAAAAATGAAAGGCTCTGTTCCTGTTCCTGCCTTCCTCCTACTCAGCCCTGCTTTTCCTGGTACAGAACTGTATGAGGCAAGAAATACACCTGCCAAAGAAAAAATAGTCTGGGGAAAAAAATCGGGAACATTTCAATACCTTGAAAAGTAAAATAAAAAGGATACCATCTAAAGGAAAATAAACTCAACAAAGAGGGTAAAAGGATGGTTGTTGTCCCTATATGCTTCCTTTTACCTTCTTCATTTTCATTTTAAAATAAACCTACTAGTAACTGACCTGACTCTGACTGACTCCTAACTCCTGAAATCTATTCTTTTAAAAAATTTTTTGTACCTGAAACTAACATTGCACTGTATGTGACTAACTGGAATTTAAATAAAAACTTAAATGAGAAAAATATTTAAAAATATATTTTTAAAAATATTATGTTATTTGAAATATTTAAAGTTTTAAAAATAATTTTTAAGATAATTCTTTTATTCATAAAAGTATTCTTCTTAGGGCTGCCTTTCATGACCCTGAGATAAGGAGAAGTTAAAAGTTAAGGATCAGGCATCAAAAGTGGAAGAAGAGAAGGAGGGGCATACAAGAGCATGGTGGGCTCCTCGGATAACAGGTGTGGATCTGAGTGTCTGAGGTAACAGGACCAGCACTTCTTCAAAAGCCAAACCATTTCTTGAGCCTAATCAGCACAGTGGGTTTGCTTAAGATGGAAAGGTTTGCTGGAGTTTACTGCACCAAGAAGATCGCTGATTTAAAGTACTATTTCTATATAGTATAATGATGTTTAAAGCACCATTATCTATAATAACCAAATTATCGAAACAGCCCAAGTGCCTATTGACTGATGAATAGATAAAGATGTGATACACACACACACACACACCCCCCATACATTATACACACATGCAGTGGAATACTACTTGGCCATCAAAAAGAATGAAATCTTGCCATTTGCAATGATGTGGATGGAACTAGAAAGTATTATGCTAAATAAAGTCAGTCAGTCAGGGAAAGACATATACCATATGATTTCACTCATATGTGGATTTTAAGAGACAAAACAAATGAGCAAAGGGGAAAAAAGAGAGAGGGAGACCAACTAAGACTCTTAGCTCCAGGGAACATGCTGATGGTTATCAGAGGGGATATAGGCACTGGAATGGGTGAAATAGGTGATGGGGATGAAGGAGGGCACTTGTGATGAGCACTAGGTGGTGTATGGAAGTGCTGCATCAGCCCTCTGGAATACCTTACAATGGAAGGTAAGAGCACTTGGCAGGTAACTGACTTATTTCTATCGCCACCATTGTCTGGACCTGAGACTTCTAAGGAGTTACTGATTCATCTAGGCCTCTGTTTCTTCATCAGGTCAGTGATAGATAGGGTTGAACATCATCATTCCCCAGGTCTCTTTTCAGATCTGAAATAATACATTTTCTGATAGGTGGAAACTCTGAATATAAAATCCCAATAAAAACATATTTTACTTTAAGAGTAATGTGATGATTCTCAGCTCCCATAATATTCTTAAAATATAATCATTAGTTATATCCCATCAAATGGTTGCTTCAAGTTATATCCAAATGCTAAATTCATTTTAGGCCATTTCTGAAATGAATCAGAGTTTATGAGTTTTAACTGTGAAGAAATAGAAACTTCTACATGCAAGTAAAGAATAGCACCTCACAAAACACATGGCTTGTGTCGATTCTCGTCTTAAATGTCTACCAGGATGCTGTTCTGAGATCGATCCTGTGACTCCTGCATCAATAACTGTGGTTGGTGTCTACAGCCCCAAGTAAGAACTATGCAAATCTGGATAATGTTTTTTAGTGATTTCAATGTCTCCACTTTAACTTACCCATTACTGAAGACAATAATATCTACTCAAGGCACAATGTTCTCCAAATAATGGAACAGTGAGAAAACAGACATGTGGATCAATACAATCTTGCAAGTAGGTTAGGATTGTAGGATCATGCACAAATATTATGTTTTTCAATTTTATTTATCCTGCCTGTACTCCTCCTCATTTTTCTCCCAAATAAAAAATAACAGGATGTGAGTCCTGGAAAGAATTTTACAGATCACTAATAGGAATCATAGCAATCATTTGTTAAATGCCTTCAAAATGATAGATACTTTAGGTACACTAAAACTGAGTCTCACATCAGGTTTCAAGCGCTGTTAGCCTCCTTTACAGATTGAAGACATAAATTGGGTTTATAGAGGTTAAGTGGTTTACCCAAGGACTCACAGTTCATATAAGGTAGAACCACTGTTCCATTGTAAATGACAGACTCCGAATGCCTGATGGAACTCTGATCCTTCATTTCGACTTTCCCAGTATGACTTACAGAGGTAAAGTGACTCGAAGTAAGTTACACCATTGATATTGGCAGAGGTGGTACCAGATCACCTGACACCTGGCCCTGCACACTTCCATCACCAGGTTGGACAATCTGGCCAAGCAAGATCCACCTCAGATCCACTTTTATCACCACTGCAGACAGCCTGACACCAAGACAGAGTGACTGGGGCAACCAAGATAGCTTTGTCCAAGGCATTCTAGAATGATGTGAAAGAACTCAGAGCTGGAACAAGATTGAAAGATGATATTTTCATCTGGTTTTCAAAAAAACTTTCAGCTACTCTTACACAGACTGTATGTAAAGTCCCTATGCTTTATTGCTATTGCTTTCTCTCTCTCTCTCTCTCTCTCACACACACACACACACACACACACACTGAACTTGATAACACAGTTGCAAACACATCATTCTCCAGACACAACTGAAGGACCAGTGTTCACCCTGCTGATGGGAAAAATCGAAACACAGATGAAGAGGTGTTTGTAGAAGATAATCATCACTGTATTGTTCACATAGTTGTAAGCTTTTATATTATTTACTCCATGGACTCCTAAGGGTAAAGCACATCCATCAAAAGACATGAAATGGAAAGAAAACATAAATCTTAAGATTCAGCTCCCTTGAGGGTCCAGCCACTTATTCTTTTCTTTCTTTTATTCCTTTCCTTCCCCACTCCTCTGCCTTATAAAGCATCTATTATTCAAATGTGCCTGTCCACATCTTGGATCATTTTACTTAAAAAAATGCACAGGTTCTGTGTATCAGTTCAAGAAAGATTAAAAATTACAAAAATAGAGGCAGAATTAGGAAATCTGGTCAATAATCACAGGAAGAGAGTTTCAACCTCACTTGCATTTAGGAGAAAATAGAATAAGATCTCACTGTTTAAGAGATTGGTACAAATCTAAAATGTCGGTAATATAACATTTTAAAGTGCCTCTCATACTTTTTTTTTTTTTTTTTTTTTTTATTCAGAGACAGAAGGAGAGAGAGCACAAGCAGGGGGAGCAGCAGGCAGAGAGAGAGGGAAAACCAGGCTCCCTGCTGACCAGAGAGCCTGATACGGGGCTTGATCCCAGGAACCCATGATCACGACCTGAGCCATAGGCAGATGATTAACTGACTGAGCCACCCAGACACTCCCTATCTTCCCCACTTAGGATGGAAATCACATGAGATAAAAAAAAATTGCTTTTTATTTTTATTTATCTGTAGCTCCAGGTCCTAGAACAGCTTGTGATTTATAGTAGGCAATGAGTGAATATTTGATGAGTGACAGAATGACAGACTGGATAAATGAATATCTGAATAAAAAGACATGTATGATATTATATTCATTGCAGTGCTCTTTTTTTTTTAAGATTTTATTTACTTATTTATTTAGAGAGCACATGAGCAGGGGGAGGGGCAGAGGGAGATGGGGAGAGAGAATCTCAAGAACACTCCATGCACGATATGGAGCCTGATGTGGGGCTCGATCCCAGGACCCTGAGATCATGACCTGAGATGAAATCAAGAGTTGGATGCTTAACCGACTGAGCCACCCAGGGGCCCATCATTGCACTGTTCTTTGTAATAAAAAAGTAAATATCCATCATTAAGGGATGGTTAAATAAAGTACTGAGTACATCCATACTACAAAATAGTCTACAGCAGTAAAGAGAATGAAGTAACTTTATATGTACTATTATTAAAAATGTTGAAGACATAGTGATAAGTTTAAAATAAACAATTCACAGAACGATGCAAATAGTATGGAAGAATTTATAGAACACTCATGAGTTGCCTCTGGTTATACAGATTGGGTGAGGAAAGTAGTAAGGGAGGATTTGGTTTATCTGAATTATATGACAGTTTTCAAAGAAGGCATACAGATGGCCAAGAGGCACATGAAAAAATGCTCAATATCACTAGTCATAGTGGAAATGCAAATCAATATCACAATGAGATACCACTTCACATCTGTCTAGATAGCTAGTATCTAAAAGAAATAGTAAGTGGTGGTGAGGATGTGGAGAAGAGAGAATCTTCACATACTGTTGGTGGAAATGTAAGCACCGTGGAAAACACTAATTTGAAAAGATATATACACCCCTATGTTTACTGAAGATCATCTGCAACAGTGAAGATAAGAAAGCAACCTAAGGGTTCACTGACACATGAATGGATAAGGAATATATGTATATATATTTGATCTTGTCATTTGCAACAATATAGGTTGACCTAGAGGGTATTATGTTAAGTGAAATGAATCAGAGGAAGACAAATGCCATATAATTTCATTTATATGTGGAGTCTAAAAAACAAAACAAACATACAGAAACAGGCTCATAAATACAGAGAACAAACTGTGGCAGCCAAAGGGAAGGGGACTGGGGGAAGGGGTCAAATAGGTGAAAGGGACTGAGAGGTACAAACTTCCAGTTATAAAATAAGTAAGTCATAAGGTTGAAAATTACAGTATAGAGGATACAGTCAATAATATAATAATTTTACATGGTGACAGATTATCACTGCATATATCGTGGTGAGCAGTTTGCAATGTGTAATTGTTGATTCACTATGTTGTACACTTGAAACTAACATACTACTGCATGTCAACTATTCTACAATTAAAAAGAAAAAGGAAGAGCACCTGGGTGGCTCAGTCAGTGAAACATCTGCCTTTAGCTCAGGTGATGATCCCGGGATCCTGGGATTGAGTCCTGCACTGGGCTCCCTGCAAAGCTTCTCCCTCTGCTCCCCATTCCCCATCTCTCATGAATAAATAAATAAAATCTTAAAAAAAAGGAAAAGGAAAAAAATTGCAGGAAAAATGCATGTGTATTACTTGTATAATTAAAAAAATAAAAGATACGTATATTAATACATAAATAAAAGGTTACATGTAGAATAGATGAAGAAGGCCTTTTAAAAAATATCTTTAAGAATTAAAACTTAGAATTTGGGATTTTGAAATTCTGCCTAGTATGCCAAAAGCCAGATGATGGTCCATTTGGAATATTAAAAGCAGAAATAAGAGGTTAGAGCTAACAGAACACAGGATGGAAAGTATAGTAACAACCATCTGCTGATGTTCCCCTGTCTGTCCTCCCTCACCACCCTCATACACATATATCATTGCCCATATCCCTACATTTCTATGTTAAAACACAAATAGTAACATATTCTTGTTAAAACATATCATTCATATATATATATATATATATATATATATATATACTCTCACCAATATCTGAAAATATGTTTACTAAATTATTAATATGCTACTTCTGTTCTTTGAAGTTTAAGAGATTGTTTTTTCCTTCTTTCAATTTCTCTGCCTTATTTTCTGGCTTATTCTACAATGAACATTTATTGCTTTTGTAATTAGAAAAAATAATTTTTTAATTTAAGAACATTGCTAAAGGAAAAACAAACCTAATTTTACCTTGTTATGTAACACACAAAGTAAGTCTGCAAACCAACGGAAGGACTGGATGTCTCTGCACACCCAAATAAAATACAGTCTTCTAAGCTTGTATGGTTTCCAGTCATCCCTTTAAAATTAAAAGAACACAATAGTGATTAGGATGGCCAAAAAAAAATTAAGAATCCCCATGTCTTTGAAAATTTGCTTTTCATTTACTAATGAAAAACCAGTCATTTACATGTATCATTTTATCATCTTTTATCATTTGTCATTGCACTTACTACAACTCCCAAGTGAATTTAAAATGTAATACACAGACTCAGAGGCATGATGTACTCCATGAGCTTAAGTGTTTATACGTGTGAATATTCTAAGTATACCACCTATTTTCAGTTCAAGGCAATAAACTAAACTCCTGGATGGGAATATGAGCCCCGGCTCTCACAAAAAAAGTTCTCTATTTTCAGTGAATTCTATCACTCAGCAGGGCTCCAGTGGTCATTAGCCATGCCCTGGCCTCCAGGCAAAATGAGGCAACACCATTCCAGAAAGCTGGTTGTTTATTCCCTTTTAAAAATCACTAAAGAAAGAGATGTCACAGTCACCTACTATGTAATGCATTCCAGGGCCTCATAATTCCAAGTCTGGATTCCTATTTATAATTATGAAAGTGGCCTGAGGTTAAGAAAATATTTTCTCCTTTTCTTAACTTTAAGTGTCCAAATAACTTGCAGTATGTTTTCAGAAACAAATGATTTCTGGCTTGGGATATGGTTATTTTTCTAAGAACCTCCAAAAAGTCCCAAATTTGTAACAAGTGCTTAAAATTGAAATAAAATATTATTCAAACACATCATTTCAATTTTATTATTTCCTTCTTTAGTACTCCATAAAGACTCAATGCAAATCAGGTCTACTTGAAAAGGGAAAGGAATTGATTTGAGAATAATTTCCTACTGTTGTTTTGTTTGTGTTTTCATGACATTATTAATCCATTAACTTTTGCTTATAATCTTGGAACTAAAATAACTAAAAAGTATTTCCTACATAAGCAGTCTTACATTTGAAATTTCTATTCTTCGGTCTGTTATAAATTTGCAGAGTAACATAACGTGGAATCATGTGCTCATTTGTCATCTGCCCCAGCCAAGTTTTCCTGACCATATGTCTACAATGACCCCGCCCCTTTATTTCCATATCCCATTAATCTCTCTTCTTTTTATCAGACTTCTGATATTTCTGAAATAATGTTATTTATGAAAGTCTTATTGGTTTATATTTGGTTTGCTCCATTTGAATACAAGTTATTTAAGGGCTGGGACCCTATTTCATGCAGTGCAGTATTTACCAGTCACTATAGGATGGATGGGCACATAGGTGCTCAAGATACTTGATGACAGAATGGATGAAGACCGCCCCTTAGCTTTTAGGAGGAAAAGTACAGAGATGAAGGCTGCTGTAACGGCTTGGGAAGGATAGAGGAATGCCTGATTGTGATACTTTATAAGACAGCGTGCTGAAAGCCATGCACCACGTCCTGAGAATAATTGAATTCTCACCCTCATCAGTCAGTAAATGGAGTTCCATGCAAAACAAGTACAGTAGCCCCTCCTTATTGGTGGTTTCACTTTCTGTGGTTTCAGTCACCCACCGTCAGGTCGCCCATGGCTGAAAGGCAGAGGGTTCTCCATCTGGCATGTTGTCAGAAGGTCAAGGGCAGCCTAATGCTTACATCATTCCCCTTACCTTATCTCATCACACGGGCATTTTACCATCTCACCTCATCATAAGAACAAGGGTGAGTACAGTACAATAAGATATTTTGAGGGAGAGAAAGAGATACCACATAACTTTCATCACACTATAGTGTTATAATTGTTCTATCTTAATATTAGCTATTGCAGTTAATCTCTTATTGTGCCTAGCTTATTAAACCTTATCACAGACACGTATGTATTGGAAAAAACATCATGTATGTAGGGTTCAGTACTATTGGCAGTTTCAGGCATTCACTGGGGATCTTGGGATGGATTCCCCTGTACATGGGGGGGGGGGTTTACTGTAGACAAATTCTATGAGGAATTACCTCATACTAAGAGTTCTCTATTTGAATTAATAAAACGGATCAAAATAACATACAGCAGGGTGTTGAGTATTGATGCAAATGGAGTTACTCCGATGCCTCCTGCCACACAGAAGCTAACCTCGTAGTTCAATGATTCCTCAAATGGACTTCCAAATGGACCGTCAATGTATAGCCTGTGGAGAAGGCACACAAAGGTGGGGAAAATGAAATAAGTTAAATTAATTCTCTGTAATAGGTAGCACACATGCTGAATCCTGTTGCCAGGCTTTGTATGACTCAGTTCTTATTTCATTGTTCTCGTACTGAAAAACCTAAAGTAATAAGAAATATATATGAAGTCTCAATATTAAAACAGGTATATCTGTTTCTAAGCCTTCCCTTTTTGAGGCAAACGTTAATTAAAAGTACAGAGAAATGTATATAGGACCATGACAGATACCTAAGGACAAGTTAAAGCTCTGATCATTTATATTACTGTATTTAACTAAATTAAAATATCAATTGCTTTACTGCATCTAAATTCAATAAATAAGGTTCTCTTTAATGGCAAAGTCAGCAGCAGAAATATTTACTGTAACATTTACTCTGTGAACAGAAAAGTAATAGGAGAAAAATAAAAAGGAAACTCTTTCCCTCTTGCCCTAGTGAGGTTTATTAGTATAGAAACAACTGGAGAACAAGCTCAGAGGAATCTCTACTTATTTGAGACTGTATAGTCAAGTGCGTGTGTGTGTGTGTGTGTGTGTGTGTGTGTGTGTGTGTGAAGTCCTTAACTACAACAGAACTTGTTAATTGTTCACTTGATATTTTAACCCCTCCCCTTCTTTCTTAATAACAAAACATTAATTTATTCAGGGAAGCAAAGTGTCCAGCCAAACCACTATATCACCCAAATTCCAACACCCAAAACTGTACTTATTTTGACTGTGTGACTCTGTTCTGGTTAATATAATGTAAATGGCAGTGCTATTAGAAAAACTAGAAGGCTTCCTGCAGAAAGCTGTCTTAGCTGAAAGTGGTGCTCTTTATCCCTCCCTTTGTTTCCTTCATCCTGATAACCTAAGATGCTGCCCTGATGGACTTCATACTTACCACTGATGGCTGTAGAATTAAGATAGCCTCACTAGACTACCTAGTTCCAGGTATCTTACTGTGAAAGATATATATATATATATTTTTTTTTAGGGAATCTGTTTCTACAATGGTTTCTTTTTTCTTTCTTTTTTTTTTTTTTTACTTTTTTCAATTTTATTTTTTAAAGATTTTTATTTATTTATTTGATAGAGAGAGATCACAAGCAGGCAGAGAGAGAGGAAGGGAAACAGGCTCCCTGCTGAGCAGAGAGCCCGATGCGGGGCTGGATCCCAGGACCCTGGGACCATGACCTGAGCCGAAGGCAGAGGCTTAAACCACTGAGCCACCCAGGTGCCCCACAATTTTATTTTTTATAAACATATATTTTTATCCCCAGGGGTACAGGTCTGTGAATCGCCAGGTTTACACACTTCACAGCACTCACCATAGCACATACCCTCCCCAATGTCCATAACCCCACCCCCTGTGAAAGATATCTTAAAGGCATTGCCTTGTCATGCTCTTTTTTTCTTTTTTAAAACAAATAGCTTTGCTAAAACATAGCAACTATCCCCAAAAGTACATTTATGTCATCAGCCTTATGATATGCATAGCTTTCACTGTGAGATGCGACTGCCAACAGTGCCTATCTTACTTTTAGGTATCTGTGGTGTTACTGGTTAAACGTTAAATGAACGAATGGACAGTCTTTTGACCTCGGAGCTCCATGGCATGCAATCTAAGTTGTATCCCATTAGTCACTGCCAATATTTGGTTTCGACTCCTCCTCGACACTTACAGACTGTACTTCTTGGAATTCTTGTGATTATATAGAGCCATACATCTAATTCTGATCACAGGGCTGTGAGCAGAGGCAATACTTGCTATTTCGGAATAAGGTAGGGAAAAGCTCTGTCCCTTCCATGAAAACTAAAAGCCATGAGTAGAACCAGAAGACAAAAGCCAAGTGACTCCCTGACTTATCACTTGAAGGGAACTGTTCTGGAGCCACTGGACCCACAAAAGTCACTTCATGAGTAAGAAAGAAATCTGTTTTGTGTCTTACCACATTTTCAGGATATTTCAAAGTTCACTAGTTACCACAGCAGAACTCAGACCAGCATAACTACCACATGTACAGTTTATATTTAAATCCTCAAAGGAATTTGGAAGAGTACTGATTTAAAAAAAAATACTGTAGCCTATTAAAAAGCTACTTGCTGTACCTCAAGAAAAAATAACCAAAGTTTGAATGCTTGAGGTAGTGTTCTAAGCACAGCAGAAATTCAGAAAATACTGATAGATCACATACAGAAAATATGCCTAATTCTTATTACATCCATCTCCTTCACATTTTACAGACTATTCACTCAACAAACATGCTCTCTGTACCAGTGATTTCTGTGATACTATTTTGGACTCAAAGATAAAATTGACACCGGGACATCAAAAATGACATTACCGAAGTTTTTCCATCTTCATATTAAAATCACATTACATAGGTTGAGGGGATGAAAGAATGACTATGATACTTTGATCTCTTTAAAGATAAGATCTTCTTTAAAAATATCAATGATAAAATTGGCAGATGATTTTAAAGGGTACTTAAAGAGCAGAATTTAAGATATGACTGTTTATATTTGTCTGATGTACAGTGCTTTCATAAAGATATTTTTACTGAACAGAAAAAGAACAACCTGAAAACAAAGCTACCAGAAGATATTTGAAAATTAATAATCAGTACATTAGATTCTTGATATAAATCTCAAAATATCAGTGGCCCATAAATAAGATATGTGAATTGATTTTACCACTTCTCACCATGTAAACAAATCTAGAATATAAACATTAAGTAAGAAAGTTGGGTTTAAAAATAAATACTGCCAACTGCAAAAACAGATCATTACAAATCTCTACAACTATTTTAGACTCCACTACACACAGTGCAATCTTCTCTTAATTAGTCATTCACTTATTGAACAAATGCTTTTATGCACCTGCAATGTACTCGACTGTGTGCAAAGTGTCAGGGAAACAGAAATAAACAAGACAGAAAATGTCCCTGGCCTCTTGGTTGATTCTAGTGGAAGAGGAGCTAGCCCATGAAGAAAGATATAAAAAGATCTATAATGTCATATAGGATAAGTGCTTTTAAAAAACAGGTTAAGCAGGGTGCCTGGGTGGCTCAGTGGGTTAAAGCCGCTGCCTTCAGCTTGGGTCATGATCTCAGGGTCATGGGATCAAGGCCCACATCAGGCTCTCTGCTCACCAGGGAGCCTGCTTCCCCCTCTCTCTCTGCCTGCCTCTCTGCTTATTTGTGATCTCTCTCTCTGACAAATAGATAAATAAAATCTTTTAAAAAAATAAAAATAATAATAACAGGTAAAACATAGTCATTGTTGGAGCTAGGTGACTGGTACATAAAAATTCATTTTACTATTCTGTTTACTTTTACATATGCTTGAAATTTTGCATCAGCAGTTTAAAGGGATAGTCAGGGAAGTGCATACGACAATTGAACAGAGACCTAAATGAAGTGAAGAGGCAAGATATAAAAACACCTGGAAAAAGAATCTTTCCAGCAGGAATAATGGGAAATAGAAATAAACAAAGCCTTCTGGCTTAAGGATGTATTCATGCCAGCTACACTTCCTGGGAATTTTCAGCTCAGTTTCTTCATTCAATCTCCTGCTAATTGTATTTATGAATTTTTCTTTGTTAGGACTGATGCTCTGTTTGGACCAATCCCTATCATTTCCTCATCAACAAAATTTTTAGCATCTATCCTATAAAAGGCACTTTTCAGGCTCTGGAGATGACAGCAGTGAACAGGAGACAAATATCCCCGTTCTCAGAGAGGGCTTCTTTCTCGTGTGATTATCTAACACATCCATCACTCGCATATATTGATTATCTCCTGTGTGTAAAGTCCTAGAGATAGAAAAGCACAGGTCCTGTCCGCAGGAATTATGCTGCTGTCCCCTTCTTTACTCATGTCTACTTCCTATAAGAAAAAACAGACACAAGGACACCTTATTTGACCAGCAAAGAAGAAGAGCAGTTAGCAGTCTGCTTCTTGTCTGCTTTACGATCGACAGCCCTCACGAGCACCCTCCCTATGTGTTTGGTGTTCCAAAACAACTTTTGGCAAGGAGACAAGAATTCGGGGTTCTAGACATTTACTGGGGTTGAGCGTACAGGCCAGATAATTGTCCTTGCCAAATCTGATTTCCTTCACTTCGAAAAGGATCAATCAGATGTGGTGACACAGAAAAGTCTTGCTGAAGAATTGTGGAGGGCCACAAAGATCAGTTAATGGCATCAGTGAGCACTTGCCATGTCCTGTCAGGTCAACTGAGAGGTCCAGCGTGAGATGAGAAGCAGACGGGAATGTGGTGCAAAGGACTTGAGAGAAGCAGCTGTCTGGGTTTTATTTTTCACTAATTTTCTTTTTTCAAAAGTTTTTTTTAAATTTTAATTCCAGTTTAGCTGATAAATAATTCTATCAGTTTCATGGGTACAATATAAAGACTCAACAGTTCTATACATTACACAGAGCTCCTCATGATAAGTGTACTCTTAATCCCCATCACCTTTTTAATCCATTGCCTTCCCACCGCCCCTCTGGTAACCACCAGTTTGTTCTCTATTAGAGTCTGGTTTGGGTTTATCTCTCTTTCTCTCTTTTTTCTCCTTTGTTCATTTGTTTTGTTTCTTAAATTCCACATATGAATGAAATCATATGGTATTTGTCTTTCTCTGACTGATTTGCTTTGCTTAACATTATATTCTCTAGCTCCAACTCCATCCATGTCTTTGCAAATGGCAGGATTTCATTCTTTTTTATGGCTGAATAATATCCCATTGTGTGTGTGTGTATAAAACTTCTTTTCCATTCATCTATTGATGGACACCTGGGCTCCTGGGCTGCTACTATAGTTTGGCTATTGTAAACAATGCTGCAATAAACAAATGGGTATGTGTATCCTTTTAATTAGTGTTCTTGTTTTCTTTGGATAACTACCAGTAATGCCATTACTGGATTTTAGGGTAGTTCAATTTTCAGGTTTTTGAGGAAACCCCATACTCTTTTCCAGTG